TTTGCAAGACTCAGAGAATACCCCTAATGAATTTCGTTCCAAGAGAGTAAGAGAATTGAATTTAATGCAAAATACATATATTTTTGGTTGGGGAAACCGGCTGCCTCTGATTAAGGCAATTTCCGTCAATGCGCAAGTACAAACAAGTAGAGGCAACTTAAATGGGGTTGAGGTGCGTCGGTGGATACGCGAAAGCGGTGGGGTGGTCATATTGAGAGCGCTAGAGCAGAAACAGCAGCGTGCGACACTTGCATTGCTCACTGTAAATCAATGCCATTTTACAGCGTGAGAATAGATAATACATACATACATATATCAAATGTAAATACCTGTGGGTGACAGACAGGGCGGCGCGACACTTCAATAAAGGGGTTGTTTAGCTGGCGAACAGGGTTCAGACCCCTCATAAATAATATAAGAAAAAAACTTGTTGTTTAAGCTTAGTATTCAGCTCACAATGAAACAGTTCAAGTAAAAATGGGCATAAATTGCTTAAAGCGGATAAGTAATTTGGACTTTTTATAAGCTTTTATTATTCCTTCATTATGAGTCAGCGAAGAAGTGCTCAGCGTTTCGTTTAAATGCATTGCTGCATTGTTGCAAAACCAATTAAATGCACATTTAAAATCTCACTTGTTGCGGTTCAACTGTAACTTTTCTTCAAGAAGTATACATAATGCCCATTTTTTCAATAGTGTCATAACTCGAAAAAGCAAAACCCGAGATTAACGGCTTTAAAGTTTTGAATTTACGTCTAATTCTATATAAAAATTAATACACAATACAAAAGAAGAGCTGCCGGTAATTCCTGCATAATTACTTAAATTTCTGTCTTCGCAAAGACTGCGATGCCATATACATACATATCTTTCTTCAAAAAAATAACAAAAATGGGAAGATGTTTCTTTGAGAGCTGAGTAGATACTGTCTTAATGAAACTCTTCTTCTTTCTTTCTTTTTTTGGCGCTGTAACCGCCTAAGCGATTTTGGCCGAGTTCAGCAAAGCACGCCAGTCATTAATGAAACTCTACACAAGAAAATTTTTTCGCCTTTCCTCAGGGTTTTTATATGGAGTTTTTGCTTTTGTTGAGAGCTGGATATTAAGCTTTATTTAGATTCAAAGTATGTGAAATGTTTTTTTTACGTGGAAAGCTGGTTTACCATCGAAGCTATGTGAAAATTGAAATTCTCGTTGGAAAAAACCACATACCAATTTTTAGCCAAAAATTACGACAAAGTTAGAAATCATCAACTTTTACAATACCCAACTTTCAAACTAATAGGACTACAATGTGGCATACATACAAAAATGATTTGCTCGATAGGTGTGACCAATGATGACGTATCCTTAAGAGCATTTTCTGAAAAAAAATATATATATATTTTATCGTTGACTTGGTTGGCGCCTTTTATTTATAATGAAAACAATTGAGATGATATTTAACGTTTACCAGCAACAGCTTTGTTGCAAAACATTTAGAAAAAAAACGCCATTGGCACTTTCGTATGTCATTGCATTACTATCCTTTTTTAAACAATGTAAAGATGAAATAATGTGCCATTCTTTAAAAAGGTATTAAAGTTTAAAAATGAGTTGACTTGGCACCTTTTAATTTTTACCAAATTTCCAAAACGGACTTAATTTACTCCGATCAGAGTAAGATCCAAACGGTACCAGCAAAAGTAAACCACTTGTAAACAACGCTTGCTATGGATATAACAGTATTTGTACCCGTTTTATATTATGTACTCGCACTCGCGGATATACATACATACATACAAATGTATGAATGCAAATGCTGTAAGCGGATTTGTTTGAGTGAGTGTTTGAGATG